AGTCTACTGAGTACAAACCACAGAGCAGGTTAACAATGAAGGGCTCCCCATGTAATTTTTTTTTTGTACGCTATTTTTACAAGCACGAGATCCCACTCATTCAGAATTTTTATTAGCTCACTCTGTGGCCAAGTTGTTTAAGACTTCATCAGAAGCAGGATCCACATCTGTAGGAGAAAAGTGATGAAGAGTTCATCTAGCAAGGCTTGACAGCAAATGGGAAGGAAGTAGCTGGTGTGAGCATCTACTGGGAATTAAGGAGGGGGATTTTTGCTTTTAATATTAGAGAGCTAGAAATTCATGGCAAGGGAAAGCTGTAACATAGAGGCCAGAGGGTGAACAACATAGAAATTTGGGGTCTGGGATTTGGGGAGATAAAAAATCCAGAGCAGGTGATTAGAGTGAGGATTTGAATAGGTTGGAGAAGGAGAGGTTTTATTATATTATCAACACATTATCATAAATTGACCTTGAAAAGAAAGGACATACATAGGATGGAAAAGTTTGTGCCTAAATAATAACCTTTTAGACAAGCGGAGATGGTAGAAAACAGCAAGATGCAGACTCCTCGTTTCTTTTAGGAGTCTCAAGTATTTCTTTTTTCTGCCTCCCATGAAAGCTGTGGTCACATGGCTGACTCTCAGCTGTCAGGAAAGGCCAAAAAATTCTATCAGTCACGGTGGCAGAGAAAATCCTGAAAATTCAAACCCTAAATCTTAGGAACAGTATAAAAAAAAACCATCACCACTTACTTTTCATAAAACTAATTATCTGGATGCAGACTGTCTTATAGTTTTAATATAAGAGGTAGTACTAGTGTAAAGCCAGCAGTTGCTTTTTAAGCACTGACAGCAGCCAGAGATCCAAAAAAAAAAAAAAAAAAAAAAATTTCCAGCTGATCAGCTGATACCATGACCATCATCACCATGTAACAAATGGCACCATGAAATTACGGGTAGCACAACCGAAGACGTCACACGTTCTTCTATTCTGTATCTTACAGCCCCTTCCCCACAATGCAGAAGCAAATCCAGTGTTGCTTATGAGCACAAGAGTAGCTGCTCCAATAAGAGCATACTCAGAGCTGGGAAAGGTGCAGGCCTCATGCAAGGACACACTAAATCCTTAGTCCCAACAAATAAACCACTACTAAGAAATCTATATTACATGAAGACTCCTGTATGAGGCTTCAGATTCCAAATCAGCTATCCATGTCTAATGCTTTGGGCTATACTGCTAAAAACTGCATAAAGATTAGGGTTCTCTTCCCAGTATTTTTCCTAGCCTTACTATTTTTCAGTGCAATCTGACACTAAACTGTGACTCTGATTTTCCTATTTACTATATGCAAGAGCAAACAAATAAGAAAGAATCAAGCTGGAATTTTTCCAGGCATATTCAGAATAATTATTCCAAGTAACTCTCCTTATCTTTATCCTTGTGGATTTGAACACATCCTTGAGAAATCTGTCCCTCATTCCATATTCATCAGAATAGAGGACAAAACAGTTAAAACTAGCATGCTCAAACCAAGTCTATAACCTTGCAGAGACACGTACTCTACATATAATAATTCACCAATTTCTTATCAATGCTACAACCACCATTCATTCCTAACTTCCACTTTCCCAGTGTAGTACATCAGAAAGAAATGGCAGATTTGCCAGATCGGTCAGAAGTGCTGCTGTAGCTGCCAAAAAATCCTTTGGCTGATTCCACCATTTCATAATCATCTTAAATTTCAGTGCAGAGTCTCATCCAAAAAGCCTTCATGTCTCAGTCCCTCCCACAAAAGAGAAAGATCAGAAGACCTGTTATCAACAGCAATATAGAAAGCATCCATATCCATACTTCTGTGCTAATAGTCTTACTTTGAATAAAAGAAACAAAAAGCAATCTTGAGGGATCCCCCCTCGCTTCTTGCAGTTTTCAGAGCTCTCCAGACATATCACTAAATATTCATAGTTAATGTTGTGAGGATGCATACAGATTAAGAGCCACGTGAACTCTGAATACTCATCAATTTTCACTTTTCAAGGTCTTTCTTACTCTGTTTTGTCATATTGTTTTTTAGTAACATAAGATTTAAAAAGGAACTGATGATAGTTTGTATTTAAGCAAGTTCTTACCTAAAGATCTACTAATTCCTTTCACCAGCATTAATGCCCTCCTGAGAAGCATTGCTGACTCCTAGAATAGCTACATTAATACCTCAAAAACATCAGCCCATTCAAGACACAGGCTGTAACCTGCTCAACCCAGAACATACCCCAAATCTTTGAATCTGAAATACAAAACCAAGTCCTAGGAATATTACTGAGTTCTGCCTCACCAGAATCACTTTTGAACAGGCACATGTTGTGAAGGACATAACAAAGGGAATAGTTAAGCATCCCACAGACACACAAACCATTTATCAGTCTAAAGATCACATCACCTTCGTTTAATCCTTACTGCAAAGCCCTACTTCGCCTTGCTGTTGCCATTCTTTGCCACTCCTGCTGGAGCCACAGTACTATCTGGAACCTGATGAACTGTGAGCCCCACATGCTGTTTATTTGCTGCTTCGTGACCATTGCCTAAAGAAACGTGATTTCAAATTTCATGGTCCTGCAGCTGCCAGGGCAACTTATCCTGCTCGTATTAGGCAAGGGGCACTTCTGACTTGATAAAGAAATGAAATGGGTGAGTAAAGGAGTGCTCTATTTCTCTTTAGCTGCTAAGTACAGGATTTAACCTAATCAACACTTCTCTGGGGTAAGAACCTCATCCTGTGCTGTGGTTTTTGGTGTTTTGCTTTGTGTTATGTTTGGCTTGTTTTTTTTTTCAAGCCTGCAGGGTTTCTTTCCCCCTCCCTCTTCATGTATTCAAGATGAGAGAAGCTTCAGTGAGCACAGCTACCGGTACTCCAATTTATTCAGCAGCAACCCCTGTGGACTGCTAACAGCAGAATGCAATTCTGCTTGGATTATAAGGTGTAGATAAGTAATTCCATCCTTAATCTATCACTGTCAGTGCAGACAAGGGAAGGACTTTTACCTAGGAGAAATCAGGCAGAGGAAAAAATATATATAATGTATGGGGCAAAAGGACAGCTGAAATAAAGCAAGGATACAAGTGCATGCAGAGGGAAGCAGGAAAAGAAGAAATGAGACAAAGGACCAGGGTGCTAGAAGAAAAGTAAAGAATGTGATGAAGGACCTAGCCAGGTTCAAAGCAGAAATTCTCAATAGCAATGACAATTCCACTTCTAGCATAATCTATGCCTTCTATTAAACATCCCCAGAGTAAAATGGTAGAGATGTTTGAGACCTTGGTAAATGCTGATGGACTGATGTACTTTACATTTACATTATAGACATGATCAATAAATCTCAAGTACATCATAACAAAGCCTCAAAGCCTTCACATACAAACCTGTCAGTAAACTGGGACAATATTACAAATAGACAAGGATAATGCAAAGGTTGCACAAATAGAACAGAATCACAGAACAGCAGGGGTTGGAAAGGAATTCTGAAGATCATCTAGTCCAAACCCCCGCTAAAAGTAGGTTCTGTGGAGCACATTGCAGAAGAAAGCTTCCAGGCAGGTTTTTAATATATCCGGAGACGGTTTTAAGTTGAAGGAGGGAAGATTTAGGTTGGCTATCGGGAGGAAGTCCTATACCAAGAGAGTGGTGAGATGCTGGAACAGGCTGCCCAGAGAGGCTGTGGATGCCCCATCCCTAGAGGTGTTCAAGGCCGGATTGGATGGAGCCTTGGGCAGTTTGGTCTAATATTAGATATGGAGGTTGGCAGCCCTGCATGCAGCTGGGGGGTTGGAGATTCATATCGTTGAGGTCCCTTCCAACCTGAACCACTCTGTGATTCTCTGAGACTCCACAACCTTGCTGAACAGCGTGTTCCAGTGCTCTGCAACCCACACAGTAAAAAAAAAAAAAGCAAACCCACATTCTCATGTTCACACAGAACCTCCCATACTTCAGTTTGTGCAAGCTGCCCCTTGTCCTGTTGTGGAGCATCACTAAAACAGCCTGGCCCCATTCACTTGACTCCCACCCATTAGAGATTTATAAGCACTGATATGATCTCCCCTCAGCCTTGTCTTTTCCAGGCTGAACAGACTCAGGGTTCTCAGCCTGGAAGCCAGAGAGGGACACAACATCAGGAACTGGTATATATATGATGGGTTTTTTGGAGGAGGCTTGCAGAAGGTTATTCCTCCCTAGATGTAGGACTCTACACTTGTTCCTGTCGAACCTCATCAGGTTCCTTCCTCCCTGCCCAACTCTCAGCCCGTCCAGTTCTCGCTGAATGGCACCACAGCCTTCTGGCGTGTAAACGAAGACGCAATAACACTCCCACCCCCGGCGTCCATTAACGACAACGGACGACTCCGCACCCGACCACCAAGCGCATGAGCAGAACAGCCCGAGCTCTCCGGCCGCCAGTCAGGCGCATGCGCAGGAAAAGATCCCGCCACGCGTGCGAGTGAGAGCGCTCGTGCCTGGAAGGTCCCATTGCTTGGAAAGGAGATAGGTGTAAGACAGAGGCTTTTCTGCCTCATTCTCACTTGTCTTTTCGCTTCTGAGTGCTTCCAAACTCCTATTCTGTAGACTTTTGCCCACAGCTTTATTATTTTCTACCCTTTTCCAAGTGAGTTAATTTTGGCTACGCGGTACTGTCCCCTGTGCTCTGCCCAATGACAAGTCGGTTCCCCATACGCAGGTAGTTGCTGGGCAGACAACACCCCGCCTTAGCCATCCGTCCCACAGCGGCACCGCCCTCCGAGCGCTCTGCCCCGCCTCAGCCACAAGAAGGGCGGGGACCACGATTTGAGTGACAGGACGCTCTGAGGGCGGGCAAAGACACAGCAGCCAATAGTAATTCTGGCTAGCCTTGACGAGCAGAGCTCGCAGCCAACCGGGTTTAGCGCGCCGGAGGAAGGCGGGGCGCCCCGTTGCTAGGGCCGCGCTGTTGCTAGGGCCGCGGCAGAGCGCGGCGGCGGCTGCCGCCGCCTTCCCGACCCGCTACCTCCGCCTCCGCCTTTCTCGGGCCGGGGTGATGGTGAAGCTCTCCGCCAAGTGCCTGCTGGCAGGTGAGTCTGGCTTCCTCAGCGAGGCGGGAGCTCTGGGAGGGCGGGCCCTGCGGCCTGGCAGATCGGCAGGGCGGCATCCCGGGGGATGGGGCGGTGGTTACCGCCTCCCCTGTTCGCGTGGGAGGGCGTGAAGCGCGGTGTGATCGGCTGGGGAAGGGCAGGGTCCGGAGCGAGTGGGTGTGGGAGGATGGGGGACGAGGGGAAGGGCGAAGAGAGCCTGCTTCACGAAGGCTTCTTTTTCCGCACGTGAACTGGAGGTTAATCTGAGGGGGGGGGGGAAAGTGAGGCGAAGACAGAGCTTTATTCAGTCAGGATGGATTAGAGGTGGTGAGGGTGAATTCAGTCGGCTGTCAATGCTGCAGGAAGGAAAGGCTCACCGTTGAGCGCGTGGTATCAGCCAGGAGCGCAGAACCAGAACGCCTTGCTGTGCAGACAGCTCTCCGCTTAACTCTTTGCTCCAAATGTGTTTTCTTCCATCCAGAATTAAATCTTCGTGGTTTGGTTTTGTTTTGTTTTTTTTCTTGTTGTTTTTGCTTTTTCCTTGGAAGCAGATAACTTGTCAGCTTGCACAAAGCCAAGTGCAAGCTTTGGCAAATGCAAAAGAGCGTTTCTCCCTGCTGCCCCCGTTGACAGTTACCATGGACAACATGAATGCCTTAACCATCTTCAAGATTTGCACATCACTTCCCGTTTGGAAGTTTCCAGGTCGCAATATAGGTTTTCTTTAGTCAGCCGCCCAGGCTGATTCCATGACACTCCTGAACTCACACAGGTTTTCTTTGTGTGACTCAGTTATGTTCTTAATCCCTACTGGGTTTGAAGCTGCCCTTTCAGTTCTGTTCACAGTGCAAACAACAGAAAGGCTCTGTTCCGTGTCCGCTTGTAGTGCTCCTAAGTACTAGGATAGTATGTGTATCTTGTTGAAAATAAGGAATTAATGCAGCAGACCAAGCAAAATAACTTCTTTCTTCCAGGAGAGACGACTATAATGAAATAGATGTAAGAGGCGAGAAACCGCAACCTATAGAGAACAAGAGAATGCAATTACATTGGTAGAAGCAAAAACATCTGAGGTAGATCAAGAAACTCTTGTGTACCTAAGGAAATGATTGTGAAGAATAGAATGGCTGACAGTATTGGGAGCTGCACCGAGGTCAAGAGAACAACAGAGGGGAAAAGACTTTTGTTAGTAGAGGAGAGGCTATTAACTTGACAATAGAAAGCGATTCCTGTGTTATCTCAAGAGTAATTTACAGACACAGACCAAGATTGGAGCTTATTTTGGAGACACCATGAAAGGGTTTTCTTTGTAAAAAAAGATACTTGTCGGTAGCAGGCATTTTAGAGACATGCAACAGTTTCTGGCAGAATAACAGAAATATGGGTGGAATAAATTCTGTGGGATGCAGTATTTGCAGATGAGACCAGACTAAATGGAAAATGCAAGGAAACTTATTTTGAGAAAGAAGTGCAGTGATGTAATGGGCAAAGAGAACGGCAAAGAAGAAGAAAAGAGGAGGGGAAAAAAAAGCTGAGGCTGTCAAATAAAATAAAGGAACACATTAGGTAAGAATTTGCACTGGATGTTGAAAATAAAGAAGCCTGCACAGTTTGTAGCAGTGTATGCTTCTCTATCTTATTTTACAAAGACAGACTTAATTATCTATTGAAATACAGAATAGCTTCCACTCAGAACAGAGTGTTGTCTTCAGCACAAGCTTGAACTGATCAGGGAACAAACAAGCTGATTTACCAGATTTTCCTGTCTAAATATTATGAACCCAGTTCAGCTCAAAGTAAGCAAGCATGCTAAAAACGTTTAAACAAGAACTGCTTTGGTTGATGCATCTGGGAGCAATTGTTAGTATCCAAAGTCCTCTTCTCTGAAATATCATGTGAGGAGATAACTTCCCAATCTCCTTCAAAACACCATCTATGAAGTTCTAATAGGGCAAAATGTACCCCTTTCTCAGTTTGCTTATTACCGGTATAGCATAGAAGGTTTGTGTTCTCAGCTTGACTGTCACGTTCCTTTCAGGACAGAAAAAAGCTAGAACACTGAGATAGTTAATTCCTGGGTTTTGTCCCTTTTGAACTATCCAGGCTGCTGAAAGGATACGTGAAAAGAAGATAAGCTCCCTGAGAACATTAAGTTAACTCTGTTTTGCAAGGACTGCGATCTGTTTCGTGGAATGATTTGGGCTTACGTGAATTGTGCAGTTCTCTACCGTCCCTTTAGGTCCTGCAGAACATTGTAACAGCAGGCCAAAGGGGCAGATACTTGCCCAGAATGTTATGCAAGTGACACCAGTAAATCTTTGTTCTAGAGGAGCAAAAATGAAAGCCCTTTAGTTTGCTTTCCATACAGGGATGAATCAGCAGGCTTCCTCTCCAGCCAAGTGACATTTGCTTCTCTTACGCCCAGGATGCAACTAATGAGCCACCAGCAGCATTGAGTCAGCAAGAGCTGCTCACTTAGCAGGGTCAGCAAGAAGAGTTCATCGAGGAATGTTACCAGCTTTGTAGTATATGGAAGCCCTGCCTCTCCACTAAACTCAGTATAACACTAACAAGGATTTGAATTTGTGGAAGTATGTATTTTAAGGAGAGATTTGTGGAAGTATGTATTTTAAGGAGAGAAAAGAGCCTGTGAAGTTCAGTCGCCCTTATCATGTTGTCAGATTCTTTGCAACACCACGCCTGGAAAATGTGAGTTCTTAGGTAAAGGCTATAGGGTAGACTGCTAAACACAAATTCAAAAACAAACAGCAATTCAGCCCTGATATGGGAACTCTTTGCTGTCGTTCATTGAGCAAAAACCTGATTTCAGCATCAATATGCATAATAACAATATTTATTTCATTACATGGGTAGTACGTTTCAGATTATTTTGTGATAGTGACCTTGTCTGCATTCAGAGTTGCAGTATTCAACGTCTTGTGGCATAAGATAGGCTCAGAACTGAGGGAAAATAAGATTCTCTAAGATGAACTTTTTATCTTTGGTTTTGCAGGTGATCCAGCTGTGGGGAAGAGTGCTTTAGCCCAGATGTTCCGCAATGATGGGGCTCATTTTCAGAAGAACTATACATTGGTAAGTGCAAGTTACACGACAAGCTCAATCTGCTATCCAGCAACTTTTTCTAAGTTACACGAGATAAATAAGAAGCCTTAGAACAAAGTAAATCATATGGTTTGTTGAGGCATTCAAGGTGGATCTTACAGTTTTCTTTGTCCTGCACCTTAGAGTCTGAAGAGAAATGATTTAACGTTCTGTAAGTTTTTACATTATGTGGGTGCTGGTTTTGAAACAGTGGTGAGTAAATTAGTTAATTGTTATAATTTTCCTTCTGAACCAATATTTTCCTGAGCTTTTGTGGTCTGAGAGAGTTCCCCCCCTTAGGAAATACTCTGTAGAAAAGCATCGCTGAAGGAGAAAGCTCTTAATTCCAACTATTCAGTGTGCATGTGGACGTTGTGCTTATCACTATGCAAACATGAAGATGTTCTGCATAGCCCCAAGATAATTATAATCTGCAGAAACTGTTCCCAGATGAAGAGGATACAGTTTGCAGTCTTTCAGTGAGATAATCAATGGTGATGACTAATCAGAAGCAGGATAAAAATAAAAGTAAATATAAGTAAAAAAAGGAAAATATGAGTGCGGGGGAATAAAAAAAAAACCAACCCTATATTATGTTTATTCATTGAAATAAAGATGGAAACCAGAAGTTAGGGATAGAAATAGAACAAACAAACAAGCTACAAAGCAGAATGAGATAAAAGGTGGAAGAGGCACAAATAACCTCGGTCCCATATGTTAGCTGATCACATGGTTGGTGCAAAATGTTCCCAGACTGCTTTAGAGCAGCAGTGTGACAGTGAATGCAGCCCCACAGATTTTAAGTAATACACTAGTATACAAACAGAGCTCTGAACACTGGTACTCTTTTTCCCATTTGAGCAAACCTACACAGCTGTGACACGTAAGGAGGACTATGTTACCAAAGCTGTGAGGAGCACTGCTGAGTTCCCAGCAGTCTGTCTGATGGGATTGTAATGATTTGCAAAAATTGCCTCAATCTGATGCATAGTTGGTATGCAGTTGGGAAGGCTCTTAAAAACTCTTCTGATCCCTCTTTTCCTGATTCTTCTTGACAGACAACGGGCATTGAACTGTTGGTGAAGGCTATATCAGTTCCAGAGACAAGTGATAGTGTGGTGAGTTTTTCTGTGACATAAATTGGTCAGAAAGAGACATCTGGAGCTCAAGCCTCCCTTTCCATCTCATTCCATTAGGGGATTGCACTGTATGTTTGTAAGGCCATTAACTTGCAGTAAGGAAGTGAGACTGGTCACGTGCAATTTCTTGTGCTTGCTCTTGTGAAAGGTTAGCTTCATCTTAAAATGTGTTTTACATAGTTGTGTCTAAAAGGACGTCTTAAACCAAAGCTGTCGCAAGCACTTTTTGCTTTCTGTTCTGTCTTTCAGGACAATCAGGTTTAGTTCATGTTGCTTAGAACTACGGAAGATAAAATTGTTCCTCTTCCTTAAATACCCTACACTTCCACTGCTATAGTGTGGACACGTGTGTCATTTTATACAAGTAGTGAAAATTAGCTTTTTACTGTCCCGTTCTTCCCAGTGTTCTGTTTCCAGCAGAGGTAGAAACAAGGCCTAGAGCCTTGGAGGTAGTCCTTCTATCATTTATGGATGAAAAAAATAGCCAGTTCTTTTATCATACTGTCTGAAGATGGGGTATGCACAGTGCCAAGAAGCATGTCTCTTAGGGACACGGGACTGCCGTACTGAACAAAATGCAGGGATGACAAGTTGTGGTATTTACTTTCAAAACCTTCCTCCACATTGCAGTGTTCCTGGCAAGAACCTTCTTTCTGCTTCTGCTTTCAGGAATTCTTCATTTTTGACTCTGCAGGCAAAGATCTATTTTCTGAGATGCTGGAGAAACTGGTAAGTGTTATGTAACAGTCCTCTTCTTCCAAAGGATTGCTTTTGCTTTGAAGATCTGAACTCCTCAGTCTGACAGATATAGCAAACTTTGTCTTTAGTGTAAATGGGAGCATTTACCTCAGTTGCCAATGCTTCCTGTTCTACCTTTCTGAAACTTATAAAAGTGCTAGAACAAAGACTTTTAAGAGGAAGGAAAGCAGATAATCCTTCAGTTTTCTTACAAAAGAACTAGGGATTTTTAACTGAGAGTAACTATGTGCTGTTGGTTAAAGTATTTCTGTTTCTCAGAAGTACATTGATTTTGCTGCTACTTCTGCAGTGATGTTTTTTGTTTTATAATGATATCTTGATACAACAGGACACGTTTTTGTCCTTGAGCATAACACTGCCATTCACTGTTGTGTGTGGTGTTTTTTTTCCTTCAGTCATTCCTGTCTTTTCTGGTACAGTTCTCCATTGTGCTATCTCACTTGAAAGGTAGAATTGGTTAATTGATATGAAGTTTCCCCAGACAGCTAAGTCAACCTAACACTGCTGTACAAGAGGCAGTTGCACTGTTGCCCTTGCACCAGGTCTGATTTGCAAGGGACCCCTTTGGAAGCTGACTCAGCTTCTCAAACTGGCAGAAAACCTTTCTAATTTTTTTCTCTAGGATTAATTTTGTGCTGATTGAGCATGAAGAATCAGCTTCCCTGGGAATAAGATGAGTGCCAGAGCTGGTACAAATAAAGGAGCAGGACCATAAAGAAAGAAATGAGGAAGTAAAGCAAGACTGTATCACTCAGTGCCAGCTATCCATTTAATCAACTCAACAGAGATGTGTAACCTCAGCTCAGGCATAGGTTTCCTGTGTGTTAGGCTTTTTATTTTTATCTTAGCATCTGTGTTTGCCATGCAGATGCGGACTGGCTGTTGACCACATTGGTTTCATTAGAGCTGACAATGTTCCTTTCTTGCTGTGCAGTGGGAGCAACCAAATGTCCTGTGCCTTGTGTATGATGTCACTAATGAGCAATCTTTCAGCAACTGTGCCAAGTGGCTGGAAAAGCTGAGGGCACAAGCAGTTGGAATGCACATCCCAGGTAAGAAATGGATTATAGTTTTGCTATCTGCACCCCTCTTGTGTGGCAGCAGTTGTTTCTGTTGAGCTGCGGTACAGAGCATTTATTTTAAAGCACATGCAGGCCTGGCTTCCTTCAACTCGCAGTGCAGATAAAGACGTGTATATATTTTAGATCATTCCTTAGTGGAAACTTTTCTAGATAGTCGTGTTTTGTTATGCCTCACCTCCAACTTTTTCAGGTGCTTCAGCAATGTCCCAGAATTTACTGGTAACAAATCATCATTTCTGAGTTGTATTTCCTTTGTTTCTTTTTCTTTTCTGCAGGTGTCTTAGTGGGGAATAAAACAGATCTGGTTGGTCGTCGAGTTGTGGAACAGAAGCAAGCACAGGAATGGGCTGACAAACATGGCCTGGAATACTGTGAGATGTCTGTAGTGAGTATCTGCTCTTTTCACCATCTATAGAAGTGGGAATTTGTAAAGTTATCTTCTCTTTAGCTGAGGATAAATAACTGGGGGCTCATTTCCACTTATTTGTCCTCTAACTCACCCTCTGTTTTAGTTTGTCTTTTGTGAAGCTGTTTGAGCAGAAATAGTAAAATGCTTATTTCACCTGTCATTTACAATTTTCTTTTTACAGAAGGAGATGAAAAACTTTGAGGCCCCTTTCAACATCCTGGCAAAGTCATTCTACCAACTGTACAAAGAAAAAGTGGAAACTTTTCACTCACTAGCTTGAGGGCCGTGACTGGGATGACTTAACTTCAGAACTTCTTCTAGTGCCCAGAATCCTGTGGATTGGAATACAGAGAGAGGAAAAAAGATGAGCTTTTTGCTTCTTCACAGTCATCTTCTGGTAATTCAAAATAAACTAGAAATAAGCGAATGGAAAGACATTATTTTGGAATTGCTACCTTAGCACCCCCTTCATGTCCTTTACCTCGGTTCTCTGCTCACTGAAAGTCGGTTAGGTTGGAAGAGGAAGGAATAAAAGGGGGAGGGCAGAATGGAAATTGCCAGCTTTTTGCCTTGATAATAGTGCCTTATCTCATGTCTGAACAAAATTCCTGCAAGGATGTAGAGATTTGGAGGAGGAGAGAAGAAGCTGACAGGATATTTTTCAGCTTAAGCAACCCAGTACTGGTACGTACGTTGCAGGGCAGGACTGATTCAGCCCTACTACTTGCAAAGCATTTTCAGTAGAAAGTCTGTGGGCTGAAATGGACACGTAGTTGGATTGGATTTAGGTGTTTTTCTGGGAACACCCGGAGTTTGAGGCCTATTTTAACAGTGTTATTCGTATCAGTTCTAGGATTGATATAGTGATGGCTAACATCTCTTTGTAATGCCAAGAATTTGGTTTTCTTCAACGGGGCTCTTCCACTGCCGGTCTGTCTTGCACCTGTGCCATTGTCACTTGGTAACGCAGTGCCCTCTGCTGGACCCGGGTCACAAAATTTCTGAAGCAGCTACCTCTGAAGCAAGAAGGACTTTGTACAGTCTCACCCAAATTGGCTTACCTGTAAAATGAAGTCATATGGTGAGAATATGTCTTTTATTCCAGGGGCAAGTCGTAAACTGAAATTGCCCTTCCTTCTTCATGCATTTGTTATTTTATTTGTTTCTGTGTCATTTTGCATCTTGTCAGCTAAACTTACAAACATCACATTCACATCTTCTCATAGGTTTAGCTCTCCATCCCTTACTAGAATCAGTCACCTTTGTTGTTAAACTTTCCCTCCTTATCCTTGAATTTCAAAGTACAAGCTATGATTCTGATTTCAGTTGTGGAAACAGGACTCAGGTTGAAAGACAAACTAGCTAAGTTAATTTGATTCAGCCACGTACAAATTTTGTATCAGAAAGGGTAAAAGCCTGGACAGAACACTGTGTGAGATGTTGACATTGCATATGTAAGAATTGCTAATACTTGCTAATACAGTATGTGAAAACATCCAGTTATGTACTGCCTTGCAGCTGGACCTAACATTAAAGAGTTCAAAACTGTAGCATTTCTCCTCTTCCAGAACTATTTTGGCCTCCCTTGGGTAAGGAAAGCTAATTTCTGAGGAGAATAAACACTAAGGAGTTTTTCAGGCAAGCTTTTCAGGAATCTGTGTTTCAATACTTTTATACATATATTTTATAACCACTTTTATGCCCAGTGCTAGGAATATGACTGCAGATGTTGTAGCAGAGTTTATGAAGCACTTCAAGAGTCTGCAATAGCAGCTGGGCTCATTTCACTGGCAACACTATGTTGATGCTGGGAATTAGCTAGGGAGCATGAACACAAGCTAAAGAGGTTAAGCAGGCCCTGAGCTTGCTGGAAAAGAAAATAAATAGGCTTCTTGTTGTTTTGTTTTGTTTTTCACAAATCCACTTGGGGGGGTGAGGGGGAGAAGACATAGCTGGGAAAGCTCTTATTTGAAGAAAAGGAGGACTCCTCCTTGGGCTTAGGGTCACTAGATACAACTCACCTTTTTTGGCTTGGGTTACCTTGTTAATCCTGGGGGTGTCTGTTGATTTACATAGGCTGAATGGAAGTTTGCCTGTGGATGCTAGTACCCCTATTAGGAATAAAAGTTGTTTTGGATGTTGAACTGATCTACAGAAGGTAGTTCATTTCCTCCTATTTTTATTGATGATGTGATTGCAACACAAGACTTCTTTTTTTCATCTTGAAAATAGCCTGCCAGCTGTGCCTGTCCCCTGTGATGCGGTACATGGGGGGAAGGGAGGGGAGTGAATGCCTTAGGAATGGGTGATGAAATGAATCCTGCATGATCTCTAACGGGTGAGTTCAATCTCTCTGCGCCAGAAAGATCTCCCGTAACTTCAAATAAACAGCCTACATACACCAGTAAGATGAAGATTGGTGAACATTGTTTTATTAAATGAACACAAAAGCTGGAGGATCTCATTAAGGGAGTGCTGGTGGTGATTTGTGATTTATTGGGAAGCTGCTTTTGATAGGTTAGCGAAGAAAAATGCACCCCATGCAGGGAAAGATATATTGCCAGAGAGAGGAAACGTGTAATCTAATTAGCTAGCAGTAGGGATTCACCCACTGCCCCGTCCTTCATTCTGCAGGCCAAGACTAGAAATAGAAAAGAGGTTGTGTCTAAAGCTCATAGCCCACCTTGCTGTTTGGCCATTACTATCTCCATCATTCTAATGCATTTTAAAAGCAGAATATATTGTCCTTTCTAGCTAACAGGCTATGTAATAGCAGCGTGATGCAGGTGATGCTATTTTCCTAGCTTATTTGTGACCTTGGTTATAGAGACTAATATGAAGGGTGAATGGAGACCATGGGAGTCAGATACAACCAGGCTGTGGAAAAGTTTTGTCTATAAAGTGAGGATGCTTGTTTGCTGCTTAGCCTTTGCATCTCCCTGAATTAAGGGTGCTGTGGAGGACAGGGGGAGGAAAGCAGAAAGTATGTCTGCTGGCCATTGTTGTCTTTTTACAGCTCCTCTACTTTGTCCAGCTATGCAGTGCTGTAGGTGTTACAAGGATAGATAATGGCAGGACAAAGGGAAATGGTTTTAAGTTAAAGGAGGGAAGATTTAAGTTGGATGTTGGGGAAGTTCTTTACCTGAGAGTGATGAGGTGCTGGCACAGGTGCTGGCACAACCAGAGAGGTTGTGGATGAGCAACCCTAGAGGTATTCAGGGCCAGATTGGATGGGGCCTCGGGCAGCCTGGTCTAGTATTAGATATGGAGGTTGGCAACCCTGCATGCAGCTGGGGGGTTAGAACTTCATGATCCTTGAGGTCCCTTCCAACCCAGGCCATTCTGTGATTCTATGTGTTCAGCGTGCATGCTGACAACACGAAAGAACCCTAATTCAGCCAGAACTGAAATTTCAAAAGACAGGAGAGGAAACAAGCAGGCCTTTAACCAGGCCTTTAACCATCTTTAAGAAATGTGTAGTCCTTTTTCCTGCTTGTTTTTTGTTTTGTTTTGTTTTGTTTTGTTTTTTTGATTGGGGGAAAAAACTGTCTTTTCTCCTCAGAGTTCCTCCTTACCTTTCCTTTGGTCCTCATTTCTCATTTTTTTACTGGAAAAAAAAAATTAAGAAAAGGTTTACATAGAAACCTTTTTACATTTGTGCCTGGCTCTGTGTGGTATGCTACATCACCATTTAAAAAAAATTGTTGTTGTTTTATAATTTCTTCATTGGCTTTTCCCAAGACTATAAGACATTTTGTCTTAGGGAAATAAATGGATGAACAGAAATGGAATTTTAGTCAAGTTGTCTCTGAGGAGTGAACCTCATAAACTGACTGACATTCTGAAATTTTACTGGAAATTCATTTTTGTAAAGTTGTCTAATGAAGGTTGCTTTCATAGTTTTGTTTTGTCTTGCCAGACATGTTCTACCATGGAGTGAAATGCAGGATATAAAACTCCAGAAAGATCAATCCTTGTTGTAGGATTTAATAAGAACTTCAAAGTTGATCATACAGTGATAATTTCTGTTCAATCTTAACAATGGAATGGTCACTGCTGTTCATAATAAAGCAACACATATACTGAAATGGGGCTGTCAGAACAATTTCTTCTAGAGATCTGTTCATTTTACAGACTTGAAACAAGAAAGGACATCTTTTAGAAAACTGATCTGATAAAGGATACTATTTGGTCCAGAGTTATTTCTGATATAACATCAGTGACTTAAAGGGCTGGATTTAGTCAGTTATGCCAATTGACTCCCCTGGGTAAGCTTCATTTCTTTACCTTCTATACATCTTGGACCGATCTGACCTGATAGCAAAAGACACATGATGTTGTTGAAAATGAAATACTGCCTTGGGGCAGAAGGATAAACTGTGGCCTCCTGAGGTCTTCCCAGCAATACTTTCTATAATTCTATTAGATTAAGTGGGGAAAGAAGTAGCGAGGAAAGCATAAAACAGGCTAAGTCATAAACTAGCAATTAAAGTGGGAGCTGGGCCGGGCTACAGCAGAAAACGTACAATCTATCCCAATTAAGAGCTGTATCTCAAGAGAAACCAGGAGCCTGACGCAGGTGCTGACAGCAGGGAAAACACTGCATTTCTGTTCCGTAGGCAGCAAATGCTTTCTACTGGTGCTTACCCAGATCCACGGGGGTCCATACCCTGCTCAGGACTGTGCTCTGCTTTTAATAATTACTGTATCTATGATATTCAGCTGACAGCTGCTTGCAGTTGTTTTCTCATCTGCCTGTATAAAGCCAGCGGTCTGATGGCAGATCTCTATTAGTAGAAGGAAGATGTGTCTGTTCTTGACACCATCTGTTATGGGACCCCTCCCTCTCTCCCGGAGTTCACAGTCTTTCTTTTTCCATTTCATCTCCACTTCTTCATGGAGAATAGCTACCACTGCTTGTTTTTAGCAAGTCATTTTTCGATCTTGTAGATGATACTCTGTGATCCTGGGGCTAAGAGGCTTCTAGGACCTTCTGCAGCAGAGGTGGATTGCTAGCAGGAAATATTCAAGGGCCATGTTGGCCCCCTCAGCGTTTCTCATAGCCTGAGGGCAAATCATCTCTCTGCTTCTCGCATCCTATTTTCTCCTCCTGCTGTCATCTTGCCTTGAGAACAATGTCTTGTGAGCCACTTGCCCTTGGCTCTGTTGACCTGGAACAGCAAGGCTTGGGGGAGGGAGAAAGAAGAGAGCATCTCAGTCTCCAGTCCTTTCAGGTGTTGTGAACTCTGAGGCGTTATTGTCGAAATCACCTGACAGGTGGGGATGTTGCACAGTCTAGAGTGTAATTTTCTGGCAGGAGACCCCCAGCTGAGTCCCAGCAGCCTCATCTCAGCTCTTCAGAGCTTGCTGCAGTGTAACTTTCATAGACATGGGTTGTTCTCATTCTGACTTGGAGCTGTGGTTGCTTATTGTTTTGTTTTGTTTTTACTCCTTGGGGGTCCTTCTCTCATTCTTCTGTCACAGCTTCACATGTTTCTTCCCCTAGAGCTGTTTGTCAAGAAAAGTCTGGAATTGCTCTCTTTCCTGGTCTCTGAGATCAAATCCAAATTTGGCAATGTTTAAAAGGGAAATGTGACAGACCCTACATGTCAAACTGGGGTCAGGGATGGGGTCAGTTTAATGAGTTTCCCTCCAGCCAGATATGCATCAGTTGGAGAAATGTGGAGCCTGTTATCTTCCTGTACAAGTACTGGAAAAATATACAATGTGAAGACTTTTAGTCAGGGAGTGTGAGCAGATTAGGTACATAGGCAGAAGTGGTGAGCTGCTGTGCCTCAAACAGTGGAAATGAAGGAGCAGTAGGGGAATAGGAATGAATAGGAATGACTAGGGTCTATATTCCTTCATGAAAAGCCCAAGGGATTTGCAGAGGGAGAGTGGGAAATGTGGATGGAAAGACCTAAGGCTTTTTCTGGCTTGTAGAGTTATGTACGGAAATTAAATGAGAGAAAACATGATTTATGCTTGAGCCATTGAGGGAAAACAAGGATACAAGATAGTGCTGGATGACACTGCAGGTTGCAGAGCAGGTGGTAAGAATAAATAACTGGATAGAAATTTGCAGGACTGAGATCTCCTGGTTGAGGTTGGTTTGGGGAATTCAGAGCCATGATGAGTAAGGTCAGTGGCAACCATGAGTTTAGGTTCAAGATAAAGGCTTTGCAGTAGACAAAGGCAGGTTGGATTAAAGCCTGTGTGACAGAGTTGATGCTGGAGTTATGCAGCAATCGTGAAAACCCATAATAGTAAGCCTAAGAGTAGCATGGGGAGATAAACACAGCAAGCTGTGATGCACTGAGGATCATATTCAGGGGAGACTGGAAAAAAATAAAAAAAAAAAAATAGACTACAGACTCTATTGGTCTGAAAGGGTGGAAAAATGTGGAGAGGTTGGAAATTCAGGTTGAGTGCAATTCTTTGATAGGATTTCTGAGTGCAAGGAAATAAACACCTATAATTACTGCCTGCAAATTTTTGTATTATTTAAAAAGACAAAAAAAAGGTTAGATTCTTTTAGCAGAAGCTAGGGTGATACACTTGCTTAAATCTCTTTTTTTCCTGGGGGGGAGAGGATGGAGAGACTAACATATAAGCTTACTCATAATTGTGCTGCACCATATATTACATCTGTCCAGTCAGAGAATGGAAAGAGAACCTTCATCTCATTTGACATTTGACCAAGCAAAAGTGACCACTACAACTTCAGGATTGACATTTCACAACAGAAACTCTTTGTGACCAGCTAATAGAGCAGAGGGCCTCCTGAAAATATCAGTATTAACCTCAAAAAAGTACAAAATGCAATGTGTATGTGGTCAATGTAAAGCAGGTAGAAATCACCCTGTTTGTGAATTTGCTACTAACTATAATAAAAATGCCTTTAGCTGCGAATGAGTGGAATTTCTTTTCTCTCTTGGTTTCCTTTCACTTTTGCTAATCAATTTTAATTCTTGTGAAGCATTGCTTGCTCTTAGTGTCACAGTTGTGTGTGGCCACTGTGTGCTATTTGTAGGTCTTTGATTTTGTGATGTTGAACGGCTTCAGTGTGGAGGCTGAAACTGGAAGTGTTGGAATTCACGTTGCAGCTGAAGCATCAGGCATAAAATGCAGAACAGTATGCCTAGGAAAGACCATTTACAAGGTTAAGATAATGCTTTTCAGTGCTGTTGTCAGCAGAGAGGCATCAGGCTGAAAGGAACAGGAAAATGTTAGATGGGTTAGGAATGCTGGTAGCTTATAAGCAGGAAACAATTGTCATTTATTGGAACCGAGTTAGATGTGATGCTGCAAGTCTCTGAATGCAGATATCAGGGGAGGTATAAGGGAGCTTTCTGGGACAGGGTCATGAAACTGGGAAAGGGCAGGAGGACATTTCCAGTATGGACACCAACAGAATAATGTAGCTTTTTTTGCCCTCTCCAGTTTCTGCACCCACTCGGGCCTGGGGATACTTCCTTTAAGCGGACTGAGTTATTGCTGTTGATGGCCCTTCTAGCTGAGACTGCCAGTAGGGTGGCATCCCTCTTCACCTAGACAGAAGAGATCACTGGATGCCACTTGGTTCACAACCATTTGATTCCTCTGTACTGTCCATGCCTCTAGCCTATGAACAGTCCCTGCACATGGAGGTCTGATTGCTGCTTGTAGCCCTACATCCTCACAACTCTGCTATACTTCCTATGCTAATGCCCCTCCTCCCCCTATTACCTTCAGACTCCTTAAATCCTCACATGTACTCAAGTTTGTGAGGTTATACGCCGATGTCAAGAAAAAGAACTGGTCTTCCTATCCACTACTACCATCTCTTGCCCCTTTCTTCTCCATCTGGTGCTAGGGTAGAGCTTGTTCATCCAGCTAGTTCTGGCACAAAACTGAACTGGTATGGGAGTGAGAGAGCTGTGCCCATGTTGGATGTGTCTTCCTTTGCGGGTGAGGGGCATCTGAAGCAGGCACCCTTTCCTCCTTTTATTAGACTGCTCTCATTTATTACACCATCTGTTTTCCCAGTGCCAGAGATGATGCTGGGGATATGTGACTTGGGGCACTCAGGCAGAAACTGGCCTGCACAAGGCCAGCCATGTGTTTGCCTCCTAGCAATGCAGCGGTCAGCAGCAAATTCTTTGCCGCCGCCTCCTCTCAGTATGGGAGAGAGCAAGCGTGGGCCTGGGTGTGTAGGAGACACAAAGAGATAAAATATGTGAAGGAGCAGGGGGAGGCACAGGAGGGATGTGGACTGGGGGTACATACGTATCAGCTAGAGAGAACTGTGGGAAGGAAGGACAGACAGACAGATGGGCAGAGTAGGGGAGAAAGCAAAAGGAATGGGTTGTCAGGAGGGTAAGAAAGCAGAACTGGGAGGGAGACAAAGAAATGGGCTGGCTGGGGACAGTGAGAGCAAGGCTGAGAAGGAAGGGCAGGCAGGCAGAGTTGTCTGATATGTAGTGGGGAAAGAGAGAGGTGGATTGTCTGTGGGAGAGAGATGTGTGTCAGCCAGGTACTATGGTAATAGGTAACTGGATAACCAGAGATGGAGATGAAGAGACTGCTTGTGTGTGTGTCTGTGTTTGTATATGCCTGTGTAGGGGAGAACTGAGTGAATGACAGGGAGGGAGAACAGCCATAAGGAGAGAGGAAAGAGATAAAGCCGAGCTATAAGAAAGAGCAAAAGAGCAAATCTAGAGATTAAATGTGGGAAGAAGAGAGATGTGGGAAGGCAAAGCAGCCCTCAGAGTGCAAATAAGAGTGGAGATATGGTGGGAGAGAGGAGGGAAGCTCTTAGGAGAAGGGAAACTAACAGTGCTAGTACTAGTATTCGGGGCTGAGGTTCTCTTACTGGGACCTGAGAGAGGATAGAGGGCAGAAATACAAGCATGACTACATAAGACTAAAAAGAAGCATTTTCTTATACACAGGGCTTACTGCCAATGCACAGAGACCCAGTGGACCTGGGAATGTAAATGCCACTGTTCTAGTGCAGGGTGTTTCCTGCTTGCTGAACTGCAATATACCTGAGCATCTGCAACCTGTGGACTGCCTATTTCCAGTGCTTGACTGCTAGGAGCTGTTTATGATGGCAGGTCAGACATTTATTTATAATTTTATTCTCCTTCCTCTTGCCTTTTTTCCTCACAGTATATTCTCAATGGAAAAAGAGACATGAAAAAAAAACAGTGCCCAAATTTATAGGCACCTTCTTGGTTCTTCTGTCTCATGTCATAGACACCAACTTTGCTTTGCTGCCTGGCTCAGCCAGCACCCCTCTCTTTGACAATTTCTTTTCTGTCCCTTGCTGTGTCTTTTTCATCTCCTTATTTATGTCTTCCTTCAACTTTCTGCCATTTTCATGTTATACTCTTCCCTCTAACTTCATTTATTATGTTCTAGGCTTCTAGGTTATGTGCCTCCCCTTGTTGTTTCTGCTTATTCCTTCTAGTTGCCCTGTTCCATTTCTTTTGCTCCTTTTAATCTCTTCCTGATTCCTCCATCTCCTCCTGTCTGTGCCTGTCTGCTGGCTTTCTCTCACTCTCTGTCTGTCTCTTTTGAACTGGGTTGTGAATTCTGTCGGCATCAGAGTGGGACGAACTGTAAAACTGAGGTTCCCAGAGGGCCAGGTTGTGATCATTTTATTTTTACAATGTCCTTGGATGTATAAAGGTGTTTGTTTGAGGGGGAGGAGCAGTGCATGTGCTCCATGTGGGAGAATAGAGGGGAGTGCAGGCCAGAACGAATGAAGCTTGAAACTAATATAGGTCAGTTGCAGAGAAAATCCCAGTGGTCTGTGAAGCAGAGAAGTGATTTGACACTTCAGACTGGCTACTGGAAAGATGGCAACTGAGCAGTTTTATCCAAATGACGCAAGCAACCTGGAAAAGTGTCCTGTGAAAGAGTGCAGGAGTGGTGAGCATGGGAGAGTGCCAAGCCCTGCACAGGCTCTGCTTCTCTACAGTCACCTCCTTAATGCAGGGAATAACCAACCTGAAATCCCATATTCCTGCCTCTGAGCAGTCTTCTGCTGTGTGCATCCATCTGACCCCTGCATGGAATGGGGAACATGGTGGAGATACGCCTCACCGTGCCCTCTTCCAGACCTGCTCACCAGGTCAGAGCTGGCAACAACAGAGCAAAGAGATTAGTGGAGAACCAAGAAAGACTGTACCCCCAAACCCTTGGAGATGTGTGGCCAACCTCTGCCGAGGATGGTGCCGCAAAGAAGCCTCACACCACCAGCAGAGATGTCACCAAGGCTCTGAGCCTGGCCTGGTTAAGCTGGAAGAACTAAGTGCTCTCCCTGGCACTGCTGGGAGTTGATTTGCTCTGCGTAAGAGTCCTCACTTGCCAGGATTTTCCACAGACTGTAAACACTGCTCTCAGACCTTTCCTAGAAAATTTTACAAGTGGCTACTAGCTGCAGTGAATGATTGAAAGTGGCAAAACCTGATGAGTAACTTCTGATTTCATTTCTATTAAAAAATTTTTGTTGATATAAGAGTCATCTGTTAAGATGACATTTAGATATCAAAACAGACATCCAGATTTTCGGAGTCATTTGGAGCCTCTTCATCTCTGTAAAATCAATGTGAGATACTGGCTGCTCAGCATAACTGAAAATCAGGGCAGTTCTTCAATGTCTAAACATGGACTTAAAAGCCTAGATACACATGTGTTTTGCTTTCTTTTTAAAACAGGCCCCCATTCCCAAGAAAAGGAATGTCACCTCTCTACAGCTTCTGTTCACATACATTTTTCTGTGCATCGTCATAACACTGTGGTCCAGCATCTGACTGTCTTAACTCAGTGTGTTTAACCTAATTCCTGTATGGGAATTCACTCTCTGGATCCTAAACAATTATAGAAGTAATACAAAACCAAATCCTAGGAATTAATTTGATGGCTCTGTGTCCACAGTACACCTGCTGGCTTTCAATGAAACATTATCTAAAGTACATGTACCTTTCACGAGATGTCTCCCTGACAATAAAATGCTACAAAAAGAAATCCTCCCCATTTTAAAATTAGTTGCCTGTTATCACTGATGTCAGTGGAACCCTGTGATTATGAATTTTCTAAGATCCCCTACTTGTGGAGCTCTCAATTACGTGCTGGGATACATGTTTCCCTTGATTTGTCCCTCTGAAAAGTCAAAGGGATGATATGATCTATCCCAGAGGCTAACCATTTTTCTTAATTTGCTTGGGATTTTCTTTCAAGAGTCTTTTTTAAATTCTGGTTTTTGTTTTTTCATGGAATATCAGAGAAATTAGAAGTGTTCCTTCCATCATACCCTAAGCTATGTCACAGAAGAAGAACTAAGGATGCCCTAAAGATGACAATTGATTGTATAGCTCCTTTGCAGAAGGATTACCTGTGTAATTACCTTCAGATGTAGAAGAGCAAGTTTGTCCCATACAGAAAGCCTCAGCAATGCCTCTGTGGCTGTTGGGGACCAGAGGCAAAAGCTGTGTTCAGACTGAGCTGTGGCTTTAAATGAAAATGCTGAATAGATGAGGCTGCATAGGATGCTCTTTGTCCTCATCTGCGCCCTTTAGGCTGGTCTGATATCAGAGAACATTGATCAAGGTCAACACGAAGCATCCTCACTGTCGGCCTCACCTTTCCTCCAGCATTTATCACTGCTGATATTTCCAGGAAACTTCCAAAAACCTTCAATTCAGAAAAAAAAGAAACCCAACAACTTCTCTTTCTCACCTTATTCTTTACTGTTTTCTGATTACTGCTATGTTTACATGAAAACAGGCTTTTTTTTCTTCTTTAAGAGTCAAACCGCAGCTGCTGCATATTTCCTCACTGGAATTTTCTATACCTATTTGTCAAGAAATGATGGCTTTTTTAACCCATGGATTCTGAGCAATAGAGACCATCCCTGATTATTAGAGGTGGATCTGGTGTGAGTTCTGGTGATAGCTAATGGATGGATGGGCAATGGATTTATTATGAACAAGACCAAGATATTTGTGCCCATATTTCGTGTAGTTCCAGTGAGACACATTGCTCTATGATCTATTCTGAAGACCTTTTCCCTTGTGTCTTGACTTTAAGCAGATTCTGCTGTATTCTTTTCACTAACTTTTTGTGAGGAGTGTGTGACTCAACTCGGGTTTTTTTCTCCTCTTATTTGTATCCTTTCACTCTGCTTTTCAGGCATTTGTTTATTCAGGTATCAAGGCTCTGTACCTCTTTGCCCTGTTTCCTGGAATATGCTTCCAGGACTGGAAGTATATGGATATCTGTGAGAACTGTGTATGCCTGAATTTGCATATGGATGGAAAAACAAAATAAAACAAAAAGATTTAGGTGAAGAATCCGAGAATACAGCAACAGAGCAGGAATAGCATATGAATAATCAGGCCTTACACTGGATTTCTATGGGACATAGTTTATCAGGGAGTAAAGGTGTGTAGAGGAATGCATATTTTTTTTACACACAGGATGGGCCAGCACGAAGGTAGACTCGAATTATTTGTTAAGTGCAGAATAGTGTACACTCTGGAGCGGAGAATTATGAGGGACAGCATCTGAGTAAAGAGGATAGTGTCTTTAGTTTAACACAGGCAAATACATGGAATAGACATTCTGATGAGGTGGGGAGTTTTCCCACAACTAATTGTCTGTTTTAGTCATATTCAGTAAGTTTGCATGTGTATGCACATATATCCTCACTGAAGATACTTTACCAAATACTGTAATTCCAGCTAGAGTGACTGGTTAGCAGCCTGCCCTCTGTTACAGTTAATGGGTTGCAGGCATTGATTTTTTGTTTCTATTCCTATTGATTAGGAGGCTGCTGTCCACACAAACCTCAGCACAGCATGGAAAGGGAAAGAGAGGCAAAACAGTTCTCATCCCAGCAATTCATCATGGCGGAAATGTCATGCTAGGAGTCCCAGTCTTCTCTCACTATCCCTTTCAAATAGAGAAGGACACCTTTCCTTTTTGAATAATTCAATGCATAAGGCACATGAGGTTACCATTCAGTGGAAAAAAAACAATGTGTGAGACAAGGGAATCTTGCACTGGAAGCATAGATGCTTTAGTTTCAAGACGCAATGTGCAACATTGGACAACCATTGATATTCAGTTAGTTCATTTATGACAACACTCAGATCTCACTAATATCAGTGCATAGACTTTGGCTTTGGTGGGGTTTGTGATCTCAGTGCCTCAGTGCTTCCACAAAGTTATTCAAGTGTTACATTATAAGAGTGTTTTATGGATAAATGATTTTTTTTTTTTTTTTTTTTTTTTGCAAAGTATTTGTCTTAGACAAGGATATATGTCAGATGTGGAGGGAGCTGTGTACTACATCCTTATACTCTCACACTTGGTCCACCTGTATCTAACGTATTTTTTTTATGCACTCTTGGGATAGCCCCAGCATCACTTTTGCAGAGAGACTTCCTCAGTTTATTTGTGAGACCTCTGTACCGTGTCTCCTTTTTTTTCCCCTTCTGATCATAGTGTTGTGCTAGAGATGAATTTCATATAAGTATTCAAATATTTGGTGTTTACACTGTCTTTTATGTTGATCCTCAACCTGAAAGACCTGAAGTTAAGAAGAGAGGACCACTGAGGATTTGTACATCTGTATTTATCTCTCTATCATCTCCACATGTGATTCTTGGACAAAACACAAATTTTCTTCTTTCTTCAGTTTGCTAGTTTGTTAAATTGGTCTAAGAATACCACCAGCATGCAGATATGATGTAAATAATGTTTCTTGCATATTTTGGGTCCCCCAGCTTTAGATGCCAGTGATGACTGCTCTGATCTCCCTCTCTGCTTGTCTAAACACATGGATATGGGGTTTTTTTCAACCTTCTCCAGTGAAACTTTTTGAATATTAATTCCTTTTCTGGATCAGATCTCACTTCTATCTTTCTGCCCCATTGGTTTTCAGTTTTCTAATCATCACTCTAACCCCAATTTATTTTTCCTAACATCTCCTCTGCTGTTGCAGCTGTCTATTAACACCTCTGCTCTGCCTGCAAATACAACTGCATCAACTCCATCTCTTTTACATCTCATTACAGCAGCTCCTTCTGAGATGGCCTGCCCAGTATGAAGATTCCTCAGTACCAAATTGCTGTCTGATTTTATCCTGAGCCCAAAATCTCCACTGCAGCACTCGATCCAGAGACACTCTATTCAGTTCCATTACCATCCCATGGAGTTGCTTCCGACTTCATGCCCTTCATCTCCCTTCCTTATCTTTCTTGTGCCCCTTTCTTTCCTACAGCACTGCCCCTTCTCTCCACAAATAGCAGCACTCTTGGTTTGCCATTGGAAGCAGACTTCCTGCGGCTCCTTGTCTCATCAGCTTCTCATTTCAAGTAATTTAAAATGTAATTTAAAATCTCTCTATTTCCTCCAGACTATTAATTTCTCTCTCCTTACTCCTCTATAGATGTCATTCTGTGTTGCGCTATTCGGTAAGATGCGACTGTTGTAAAATTCTGCCACAGTGTTTTTAGTCTGTAGTCTTGTTTTGTATTATCATTTTTAACGATTCTTTGTAGGAAAGATGAAATCTCAGCACAGCATCTAGCCACAGCACAAGCAGTCACACAGGACATTCTGTCATTTGCATTGCTTTTGTTCCGTTCTTCTCCAGCGGCGTTTAGAACAACTGTAGAGGGATTATTGCGAATGGTTTAAGAGGATATAAGTAGGGTAGCAGGAAGAGAATTATTTCTGAAAATTGGGAAGTGTGAGGCAGGAAGTCACCTTTAGTCCTGATCCTGAGACATAATGAACCATCACAGGACCCACTGCTCTTAGCCAGAGATTAAAAGACTCATTGTTCTGCAGGCCTGGCCTTCTTATACTGGCAGTTTCTTTGGGGAGAATGTGTCCCTATCTTGTTGCTGGAGTCATTTGAAATCAAACTTGCAAAATATGTAGAAATACATAATAAAGGCAACAGTTACAGATTAGTTTGAGGGCCTCTGTTTTGGCCCAGCTTCTGCTTCATCCTCTGAAATTATCTGAATTAGTCAAATGTAAAGATAAGTAATCCAGCAGTTCCAGCAGTATTTTTCTAATTACAGATGAAATCTGTGAATTCTCTCTGTGTTGGGATGCCTTGCAAGTCCCAGTCTACAACTTCCACAGCGGCTGTTCACTCACTCTACTTGTCACGCTCTACTCAGTTACCAACAGAAGCTACCAAAAGACAGCTCCCATTTGTGCAGCCCCACACACCCTGATCTGAAGGAGCCTTCCAATTTGTCACAGTGAAATAAACACTTAACAGCATGGGGTGCCCAGGGGAGCCCTCAGTGAAAATATACCTTCTCTCCCTATCTTCTTTGAATGACCCTGCTGTTTGGGCACAAGTGAGGTTCTTGTAAGGCCTGAGTCCTTTCTGCTTCCACTCACTCCAGCCAGGATGCTTTGTGACATTACTGGGAGAGCTGTATTGCACTATTTTGAGAGCACAGAGTAATTGAGGAGCCTACTTTGCTTGGAGAGATTTCCAGTGTGGCTTTCCCTTCCATGTATTCAGTTGATGCCTGATGGATTTTAGTGCCAACACAGTCTGCTGAAATTTTTCCTCTTCAGTCTTCTAGGTTTCTGGCTGAAATTTTCTGCTTTCCTTTGTATAATAGAACCTCAGTGGTGGGATGGAGAGTAGTACCACCAACACAAAAATAAATGGCTCAGAACCATCAGAATGGCACATTCATCCCTTATCCTTTCTTCTTTCAGCAGAAAGCATTCAGGAGTGGAGGAGAAGTCCTAGGGTGTTCTTGTGTAGCTTCCCCAGCTAGAAGCCTTAGAGGACCTCCTCCTCATCTCAAGCTACCTCTGTAGAGCTGTAATCTCCTTCCATTTTAGGGGGACTCTGTATCTCTTCACCCTTCATTTGAACCAAGGCCAGCAGTTTAGAGAGCCTGCCCTGAGTTACCATGCTCACCACTATTCCACCAAGCTGAAATACACAGCCCACAAGGGCCATCTCCTCCCTTGCCCATCCTCAGCTGTTTGGCAGCTCCATGAGTGCAGAGAAAAACAACAACAACAACAACAACAAAACCCCAAACAACAACAAAAGCACAAAAAAACAAACAAACATAAAAACCTTTTCCAAGAGAGAAGAAGGCCAGGACCCCCCCCCCCCCCCCAGGTGAGGCTAGGAACTGTGGTTGTCCCCCAGCAATGTATTAGTGGGCTCACCCTGCACTGTCACCTGCCTCATCCACCGTCCCTTCTGCCTCCCCAAGACCTGCTGGTAACAATCTGCATATGGCTGATGCCACACACCATCCGTGCTTGCTGGTAAAGTCCCGTCATGTACTCAGCTCCCTGCTGAACAGAGGAAATGCTCAGCTGCCCTTTGCGCCCCCTCCTCTCCTGCTGCTTTCCATAGAGTCCTTCATGTCCAACAGTCCTGGGGGAGATTGTCCTGGAACCCAGATTGCACCCAGAGAAGGACAATGGAGGAGATAAATGGAGTTATGAAATTACAGTGTGGCTGAAGCCCTCCAACTGGTTCAACTACCCGGCACCCCCTCCCCTCAGCTCCTTAATTCTCCTAGAAGAGCAGTGAACCTAATGCAGCCCTTCTGCTCTCTTACACCGAACAATGAATCTGATCAGAGTGAAACAAAATCGGAAGCATCATGAATTAGATGATTTCTTTTCTTTATGATTGCTGCATTAATGAGCAGCTACATGTATAGAACGAGGAGGTGACTAATGTAATTAACCTGATGTAATGATACTGCTGAGGAAGGGAGAGACAGTTATGACATACTAAGATGTTAGCATTGCACAATTTTATATACATTCTCGGTACTATCAGGTTGTGTCTGACACAAAAACTTAAGCGCTGATAGATTTCAGTCTGCATCCATTCACTTCATGGATCTTTCTGTGGAAAATGAGGATTGAAATGTGGGATACTTTCCAGGGCTGGGGGAGAGGAATTCAGTTTGGTGGTCCCTTTCCTTAGCAAAATTACAAGAAATAACAAGTAATAACAAGAAATCGACCTTTCTTGTGAAGAATCTTCCCAAAATGTCTGCTGCTTGAAGCAAGCTATGGGATTTCACAGAAAGCTACGAAGAGAAAGTCAAAATGCAGGGATTCACGCAACATTGGTCAGGGGGAGACAGAGGGACGGAAAACGAGCAACACCAAAACATATGCAACTTGCAGCAAAGCTGAGAAGAGTGAGAAGCGAGCACTTAAAAATAATAACTACAACAAAAATAAGAGAAATAAATGCTTGTTTTTAAATTACCCTTCCACGTTACATGTCACCCGTCTCCTGGGGAGAGAAAACGGCTGCCTGAAGTTTTGTGCGGGTCTAACTGCAGCGTGTGCGGGTTGTGCTTGCCGCCCTGGGCACGTATGGCGGGGATGCGAAGGCAGCTGAGCCGGGGGGCGGAGTGGGGTGCGGGTGGGGGCGAAAGGCTGAAAGGCAAAAAGAGGGAGAGCCCCAGCTACGCCTTCCCCCGGGCTCCGGCAGCCGGGGGGTGCAACCCAGCCCGGGGCTGGCAGCGGCGGGGTAGGCACAGGGAGGGGGGAGGCTACCCCCTCCGCCCCTCCCTGCCTGCCTGCCTGCCTGCCTGCCCGCGCAGAGCGAAGGAGGGCGGCTGCCGCCCGCGGATGCTGGGGCGCGGGCAGGGCGGGCGGCGCGGGCGGCGCGGGCAGGGGAGCTGTCCTTCAGCACCGCGGGCCGCGGAGCGCCGCTCCGGCACTGCCGCCCGGGGAGCTGTCCTTCAGCACCGGGGGACCGGGAGCGCTCCTCCCGCGCCGCGGACCGGGGAGCTGTCCTTCAGCACCGCGGGCCGCCGCCGCCGCGGGGGAGCTGTCCAGCGCCTCGCCGCCGCCTTGATGCAGTAGCGGGGCCCAGGAGTCGCCGGGGGCCGCCGCGGGGCAGGGGGTGCCGCAGCCGGACGCCGCTCCGTGCCCCCAGCCCAGGAGAGCGCCGCGCCTGTCCCCCTCCTCCCCCAGGAGCCCCCCTCTCTCCTCGCCCACCTCCGCCGGGAGCGAGCGCCGCGGCTGTGCGGAAAAGCCATGGGAGGCAAGACCTCGGCACCTGTTCAGCTGAAATCAAGGGCTTACAGTATACTGGGCAGTCTGGCTTGGTGGTAGGAGCGAACGAAAGGAAGGAGAAGCGAGCAAGAAAAAGTGAGAGAGGATTGGAGCGACTGCCGCTGCCGGGGGAAAAAAAAATAAAAACCCAAGGAAGATAACTGGGAAGGAAAAGGATTTTCATGGCGCAGGCTGCAGAGCTAAGCAAGAAGACTGAAGGTTGCATCTCTGCTCTTACAGTCTCTAACTGTCTAGGTCCAGATAATGAGAGATTGTGTTGAGGATGCTGCTGCTGCTCCCCTGTTCACTGTGGAAGCCATCTCCAAATTAGCCATTACATATGGAAACTGGAGACCAGAATTTTAGAAAAAGGGATTAAGGCGTCTCGTTTTGGGGGGGTTCTCTCTTTATTTGTTTGTTTTTTTCTTGGTTCTTTTGTCTCTCTTTTTTTTTTTTCTTTTTTCTTTTTCCTTTTTTTTATATTTCAACCAGAACGTTTCCGATTTAAAAGGCAAGCCTGTTCCTGTGTGGTCTTTCTAATTTACACTCTTTTCCGTGGGCTTTCTTACCTCTCTTTTTTGATATCTATCTCTCTATATATACCCATTATATTATTAGTCGGAATTATTATTCTTTTATTTTATTAAACACACACACCCCAAGAATCAGAAGGCGGTTGGGTATTTGTATAATGAAGAATTATGGGGCTCTTTGACAGAGGTGTTCAGATGCTTTTAACCACCGTTGGTGCTTTCGCTGCCTTCAGCCTGATGACCATAGCTGTGGGGACCGACTACTGGCTTTACTCCAGAGGGGTTTGCAAGACTAAAACTGTCAGTGAGAACGAAACCAGCAAAAAGAACGAGGAAGTCATGACCCATTCTGGATTATGGAGAACCTGCTGCCTGGAAGGTATTTGATTCTGGATCTCCACCCCCCGCACCCCCCTCACTTTCCTCTCCCCCTATCCCATACCCCCCCCCACCCCCCCCACTACTCCCAGTAAATCCCTTCACATTCCACCATTTTCTAACTTCATTCCTTCCACCACAATTGAGAGTGGTGGGCTTAGTTACGTGGGGCATGGAGGCAAGAAGACAAGAAAATTATTCTTTGCACCTTTGCGTTCCCTTTTTCCCTTCCTCAGCCTCTGCCCTACACTCTCCCCAGAATTTTACTCCCCCCCTTCTGACGGGAATAATATGTGTCTTACAAAAACACCAAGACACCCTTTCAGAAAGCAACTATGTGGTCTACCTGTCTTCAGATTGTTTGTATTGCCTGGGAAAGCAATGCCAAAATGCTGTGTTATTGCTGTGCTCCGTCTGCAACCACAGAGTGAAATAATTTGTCTCTTTGCAAATGGCTTATTTGCAAAGACTAACTGGGAGTGAGGGGCAATGTGGGGAGGAGGTGACTGCAAAGCAATTCAGATGCAATTATTGGTTCACTTTAGAAAGGAAAAAAGAGAGAATGGGAAATAACCCTGCTATGTCCAAAATGTCTCATATGGTAAATCTGGTGATTCCAGTCCTCTCGAGCAGAGTTCAGAGCATTTCATAATGTCTGTGAGCAACCACATCTTACTGGGCTGGGTGCAGGGGGGTCTATTTGGCACCTGATTGGTTTGTTTTGGGGCTGGGATCTTTCCCCCACTTGTTTGTTATTGGGGGTAGATTTTTGTTTGGGGGCTTTTCTTTAAGGCTTATGGTAGAAGCTAAAAATAAACAAGTGTCTGTATAGAAAAATCAGCCTAAGTCTTATGTGGTGAAACTGCACAGCAACTCAGTGACATGTCTGATGGCAGAAAAGCCACTGCCGCAGCCAACTTCTGGAATCAGACATTCCTAAGGGAGGGGGAGAGAAGCGAGGGGCCAGCGGTTCACTTTTAAATATGTGTTGCTCAGTCCTGCTGTTGGCATACATACAGGCTGGGGAGGTGGACTGCAGCTGGTGCTGGAGGGGTAGGGGCTACCAATGTAAATGCGTGGTTTTCTGTTATACACGTAGCGAGAAGGAGGGAGCGAGAGCAAGGCAGCGCACATTGCAGCCTGGTATCAAAATGCTGCTTATGAATCAGCCCCCAGCCAGAGAGTGGGCTACGGGGGCTGATGGGTGCCTGTGGATAACGCCTGGGTCTGCTAGTGCCCCCCAGAGCTGGGTGTGCCTGGAGCTCCCTGATGGGCAAGAGGGGAAGCAGGTACCGCAGGAGCGATTTTCTGAGAGTGCACTGGGAGATGGAAGGCAGGGGGAGGGGGAATAAACTGTGTATGTCCTAATGTCTCCCACCAAAGCAAGCTAAAGCTGCTGTTTAGAAATGGTTGTGTCCGGGAAGAAGAGCAAATTTCCCCCCCGTTCTTGGTGCAAACGGTTGAGTGATGGCTGGACATGTTTTGAATAGCTAAGTGACTTCATTGAGCGATGGTCTATTTGACGCATACTGCATTTAGTGCCCTTTGTCAACCCAAACTGCTGCCTTTTAACATATCCTGCAGAGGAGCTCTATGCTGAATACTATATGCTGTCTCCACGCCAAAAAATCAATAGCAGTAAATTAATGGGGGATGTTTTAAACACACTCACTCACGCACATGCACGCATTTCCTCCAAATAGATAAATATATGGAGATATATATTAATAAAGAATGAAAAGTCTTTCACATAGCTATTCATTACAACAGGGTAGAGAGACATCTCCTTAATTAAAAATTAATGAGAGAGGAGGCAAAAAAAAAAAAAAAAAAAAAAAAAAAAAGCAAGCCCAAAAGCTAAGCCATGTGAGGAAGGAGGCAGGCTGCAGGGAGAACTCCCCTCATGATCTGTGTCCCCGAGCCAGAGGGCAGAGGGAGGCTGGGGAGGAGATAAGAGGTGTGAGGACCCTGGCCAGTAGTGGCAGTGAATTCAGATCATGTCCATGTGCCCATACAGCCAGATCCAGAGGGACACGATCAGAGGAGGAGGAGGAAGGGGTGGGTGAGGTTTGTTGGATTGGAAGACCTTAAGGCTCCTTCTCATTTACATCCAATGGGATCCCATAGGGACTGTGGAGAAGTAGTTGCGTGATAAGGGAAAGTGTCAGGATGCTCCCTATCAAAGGTTCCAAAGTGCTCCCAGCCCCTCCCAGTGCCATCTTGGTCCCCTGCCCATACTCTCATGCAAAATCAGACTGCAACCCTACACAAGAGCTGGGAAAGATAGCATGACAGATGGGATTCTCTTTTGTCCCCACCACAAATGGAGGAGCCTGGTTGACTCCCTAAAACTGCTGGATGTGGGGCAGAAGTTGTAAGTGGGGCTGGAAGGTTCTAGGAACTGCCTGGGAGCAAGCCCTGCTCTGACCCTCACCAGCCTGAGGACACAGGTTGTCCCAAAACTTTGGGGTGAGCTAGGTAACAGGAGTTCCATGGCCATACACTGAGCACTGACATGGGCATGGCTGTGCCTCATGGCTGAGGATGCCTCTGACTGGCTCCTCTCATCCCAAGTCTGCATGGGCTGGTGGCTGTCACTCCTTAATCCCAGAATGGCACAGCCAAATACCCCCAATAGACACACATGAGAGGGCCACTGGGCAACCCCCAGATGCCATATCTGATAAGCCAGAAGGTTGTCTTCCTTCTCAGAATAAGGAATCAGAAAGGTGCCTCTGATTCACTTGATCTCCCAAGTGAGAGTCGCAATCTGGGTGGAGAAGGGTGCTGCAGAGGCTCCTTGCCCCCATGGTGCATGGGTTAGATGGGTTTGGGAAGGGAAAGAGTTGCTCCCAAGGAGGCTCTGGAAATGGCCAAACCCTTGGAATCTGCTCACACCCTGCTCGCAGTGTGGCAAAAATACCTGGAGAAGAGTGTGGGACAGAAATGGTGCAGGCCCATAGGGTTTTGAGAGTCAGCGAAGAGGAGGGCAAAGGAATATCAATGAGAAAATAATCAAAGAAGGAGCCAAAACAATCTTCTGCTAACAATAGGAAGGCTCTGATGAGGTTGACTTCACTTTGGGGAACATAAGGGAATGCTAGCACTAGCCAGCACTGTAGGCTGTCAGAAATGGTGAACTCTTCATATTCCAATGCCGTGGTAAATTGTATTTCTTTATCTTGGCCAAGATATCCAATAGCAAAAAGGAACGTGGAGGCTCAGCCTGTACGCACAGATATGCTGCAACCAGTAAGCGAGTTCCCCTTGAACAATTTGATTCCTGGGCTTTTAGGACAATTTGGTTCCTGGGCTTTTAGGATTTTACGGTTCCTGTCTGTCCTATCATTCAGCATTCTCAGTCAGTATCTTCACAGCTTCGTGTTGCTTCAAACAGCAGTGTCATTTTGGGCGTTCAGCTTCTGTTGGGATCCCTCCCCTCTCTTTCCTGCATCCTACAGGGAGCCCCTGTTCAACAGTGGGTCTGGAGCAGAAAGGTGATGGTGGTTCCCATTACTGCAGACCATGCTTCCAATTCTTTTCCTAATCTTCCTTCAGATATTTCTCTCTAAGGCTTTGGAGTGCTTAAATGTGTACCTGAGCTGCTCAAAAATCTTTGCTCTACAAGAAAAATGGCAGAACCTACCTCAGCCCTCTGACCACGTATATATGGAGTGTAAATGTACATCTGGCAGCTGAGACCCATGAGCTCATGGCACACAGAGGTGCTGCACCTCTTACAACTTTGAAATGGCTGCAGAGCTTCCAGCCTAATTCCTGCTTGGCACCGAATGCTTTTAAAACACTTTTTATTATGAGTGATGCCTTGTCTAATTCTTTCATTAGCTCCTGTAGATCTCCTACAGGATCTCAAAAAGTGAATGAGGAAGCCTTATCAGGGTCTTATGAAGCAAGTAAATGAAATGTATTTTATATCTGTAGGTTATTGGTTTTGTCATGTTGTCATTATTAGGAAAGGGATAGGTACAGGAGGCTTTTATACTGAGAAGGGAGAGATTGGAGTACAGGGCAGGCAGGTATGAGTGATGCGCATGGGGTTAGACATCCCTGTAGATCTTACTGGTGTGAAGGCGAATAATTGAATGGATGTTGATGCAGAAAATAATTCCTGCCTAGAGACCCTTCCCAAGGAAAATTAATGAGCTGATCTGTTCCCTTTCCAGTTTGTTATATCTGAGCAGCGCATGAGAGTTAAGTGCAATTTTGGTGTTTGCAGAAACGAAAAGCTGACAGCAAGGCAAGGCAAGGCAGGGCACAGGCGCTGGACGCAGTCCTGGTGCTGCGTCTCTTCCCCACACTGCTTCTTTCACTGCTGTATGCTGATGGGCCACTTCTTTCCCTTCACATGATCTTATGAGCATTTCTTCCTTGTCTTCTCATCTATCTTTCACCCTTCGTTTTCCTCATCCCTAGTTCTACCCTGCAGAGCTGCCCGCTGTCTTATTTCTATGGATCCACAAAACTGGTAGGGTCCTTTCCCCTGTTTCTGTCCTACACCAAAAGATTTCTGGGGAAGCAGTGTAAATAGCAGTAGATTGAATGAGAGTCCCCACGGTCGGCGGTGCAGGAGCATCCCAGAGCACAGCCCAGAGATGCAGGAGGCAGAGGTTCAGTGCCGCACTGCCTGCTGCCGGCATTGCCTCTGCCAGGCAGAGGGAGGATGCAGAGCTGCACGGGCCTGGTGTGAAAAGGGAGGCAAAGGCTTTCCAGAAGTGGGGTGCAGGTGGTGAGGGGGAGGCACATGGGATCCCAGGCATGGGTGGGTTTAGTTCTCACAGGGCTTAAATTCACACACCACTGGGAGCTGGGGATTCAATGGGCTGAGACCTGCAAGCTCACTTCATTTCAGATTTGACAAGGAAATGCTGTTCCTTGCCAGCCAGCTGCTAGAACTGACTTATAAATTGTGTTTAAATTCTGGATCTCCCTACTGACAGAGAAAGAGGAATGGGTTAATATTGTCCTGAAATGCACCAGAAA